TGATCGCGTTTTTTTGATTTGTGATGTAACTTTCGGCATTTCAGCCTTCATGTTCTGCTGTTCTTGTTCACTCCGAAGCCACTTATCGATATTGGAGGCAATAATTTTCCGAGCTTTGACCAGAGATGGCGGATCATAGCGACTCTCTTCATACATGTCTTGGCAATGAACCGTGCCTTAATGATCACCTAATTTAGTAACATTGAAAATACAATCCGCAGTGTTGATGTTGTATCCTCTGACAATCTGTCGAGTAAAAAGAGGACGTTTACCGTTTATGAGGATAGGTACAACTGATGGATTTTTTGATGAGTATAATCCAAGTACATGCCACGGATCAATATTGCCGTTTGGGAACACAACATTCGTACCCTGAAGAAACAATTGAGGAACGTTCTGTCAAACTAGGCGCAATAATGCCATGGACTTTGGCATTATCTGTTACGCAGTTTAATAGCATTGATTGAAAGAGAGCTGCCAACTGAATCATTTGCGCAGAAATCGACTCACATTGAAGTGATGGTTTCCGCCGAAGTATTCCAACGTCTCGTGAATTTTTCCATCGATCGTTTCTATTTTATGCTCAGGCCCATAGATATCATTACACATATCCACTGCGTAACTGAAATTCTTCCATGGCCATGAGCTGCTACTCAGGAATGCGCCGACTACAAACGTTATCAAAATTGCGAAACGCAGGCCCATATTCGTGAAGGAAGCAAAGGATTTGCATGTCGGAAGGAGGTTTTTTTTTTAAATTTTAGGTTACGCCACGTTCTGAAGGCCGCATCCTTTACTTCCACCTGAAAATTCTGAGCACTGGTTCCGTTGGATGGCTTAATTATGCACTGTGAAGCACAAAGCTTACTTCACTGGCGATCCACTGCCAAAAATATTCCGACCCAGATCGGTCGTTTGGTAATATCCGAACTCTGTACACGTCTGCCAGATCCAACAGCGATAAGCCGCTAAATTGCTTTAATTTTTCATTCCTTCTTACAATCAACATTGGTTTACTTTCCCCCAGCAAAACGAACTTGCTCTTTCTTTCTCATGTAAGGGCAATAATAAGAGAGATATGAATTCTGCAACGCTGCTTAATCGTTTTTTCCACCCATTACGTTTAAGTCCCACTTGTATCTGAATTTTAATGAAGTATTTCTCATCTATCACCGAAAACGTTGAATTGTGCATTTAAATTTTCACCAACCCCCGTATTCATCATTGTATGTGATGTTCTTCAGTTCATTAATGAATGCATCGTAACCGATATCCATTTTATAGTAAGTTTCGTCTCCTCNCACATAGACGCAATCTATAATGTTTGAGCATTACAGCTCTATCATCAAAACATTCGATTTGTTAATTCTACGGAAAGTGCTGCTTGATTGCCCGTGACATAGATGGAATCCAGAAGGTCGCCTTGCCCTCTAACGATCAAACTCAAATGGCAAATTACAGCACCTGTGTCGCGTTCCTTCAAGAATCAAGAGGCATTCAAGATTTACAATCCAAATTGTAGCGATACTCTCCGTGTTCTCATCGGATTAAGTAAGACTGACGTTTCTCGACCTGATCCTTATTTCTCTCTGAATGGAACGAGCGAAGCAAAAGAAAAGGTTAGAATTGATATGAGTTGATATCGAAAGCTATGTATTTATGAGCGGAAAAGGTTTTGTCTTCACATGTAAATACAAATCATCCTTCTGCAGTGATGTGACGTGAAAGAATGACTTCCACTTTCCTAGATTCAAGAGGAATTTTGGCTACGGTACATTCTGTAGTCGAAGTCACATCTAAAATATGAATCAGGAACATAGAAATGTGAATTCTCATCAGTACAGAATCGTCGAAAATCGTCCGAAAAGTTACAGAAAATAAAATAAAGGAACTTTCAAAATTGCGATGACATAAAATCAGACGTTAGAAGCGACGTATGGTTTTATCTCAAACTCCCTGCTTAAAGAATACGATAAGTGATAATAGTTAATTTGAACCCTTACATCTTGTTCTCCTCCATTCTGTGCCAGATCTTGAAAGGGTGAGAACATCGATTGGAAGAAATATTCCATGTCTTTATAGCGAAGTGATATTTCATTGAGCCCAGGTGTTAACCTGAAAGCTTGTAACTCATTAATTGACAAGAGTGCCAAAAAGGCTATAAGATCAACACAATTTTGATATAATCGCAATCAGTTCCCTGATAAAGATACCGTCATAAGTAGTGTAAGGGTACTGACGGACTGTACCACTTGGTCCGCGTGGATCATGAGACTAAAGCATACTTTGACGCATGTAGCAGTTGTGAATGGGTCTCATTATGAGAAATGAGGAAGGAGCACTGAGGTATGGCTCATGCAGCTCATATCACTTCATCCACAGTTTGCACTCACATCAGACTAGACTCAGTTCGCAGAACAATATAAAGTGTTGATGGAATAGGTAATCCTTTCCCGGCAGGCTTCAATCGACTCGACTCAGATGGTTCACCTTGCTGTGCATTATCTTGTACCCCTCAGATTCCGTTTAGATAATAGTTCAAACAAATTTCCCCTATCGCACGCTATAAATAGTGTGAGGATCTCATGAGTGTTCTATGGTCCCCACAGATAGTTACGCTTTGCTTCCTAACCATGTAAATGTGAATAATCTATTCCATACGCAATGCATACTTGAATGTTTCAGTGAGATTCTTTCGTCCTTCTTTTGTCCATATTAATTCGGACATTGCATTGAAAGCTTCTCCTACTGCAGAGGCGCACGACACACTACAGGAACGAATGTCCTTTTGAACCACTTCAAGATACTCTATAAACACGCAAAAGAAGTAACTCATTGCAATAAACGGAATTTACGATTGCAACACAGGTGAATACTGCACCTATGCATTTTGTCGTGGAAAATGCATCTAACGATCTATTGATAAATCGCTCTAAAATCAACGAGAAGCAGTTAACGAATTACTGTAGAGATGAACTGAGCGGACACGGAAATTTCTTCATTAGGAAAATTTCCTTTTTCTACATATCACATTGGCAGCTTGATTAATCATACTGCGTGTCACATGGATATGCTCTTCAAAAACAGCAACTGAGTCCAAATCTCTGTCCAGTCAGCCGAACGATTACATCAAATGATAGTGGTGATTGTTGAACCATATTTTAAGTGCTTATGGCGAAAGTTTCTTTCCCCAACGATAGCGCTGGAGCTGACTTCTCCTATCTTAACAGATAGGAGAAGTCAGCTTAGAAGCCATCAACCAACAGTTTCTAGTAGAATACTCAGAAGCACTTGTTTTTTTTGATTTGTTTTTTGAACAATGAGAACAGACCGTAAAAATCGAGCTTCGCTTCGACTGGTGCCGAACTCGCCACTGCGCCCACAACCAATTCTGGATGCTTCTCTCGTAACCACGCGGCCAAAGCGCCTTACAGGAAAATTTTTGTTAGTTGTTTGAGTAGAGTATTTTTTGTTCAGCACCACTGATGCTAACCAATAAATGGTTAGGGGTTAATAACGTGAAGGTGAGGAATGTGTGAGATATGATGGGCATTCCTTTTCAGCTATTCTTTTTCAACTATCCTTAAAATTCAGTATAACCCCCCNCCCCCCGTAAACCAAAAAATTCTTGGCACTGATGGCTCTGAAGCATATAATATATGAGTAAACGATATTGAGCCAAACCCGAGTATGATCCACCAAAAACCACCCATTTTGGATCCGAAAAATTGAACTTTTCATTGATGTAACGTATGAAATAAGCCGCATCCTCGATCGCTTGTTTACTGCTGAGATATTTCAAATTCTCCGTAGCTAGCGTCCTGAAAATCACTTTCCAATCTCAGAATTACTGTTCTGTCCTTAACAGTACTCTTTATTTCCATTTGGTCGCACCAGCTAAGATCAACAGGCAATCCGTACCAAGATACGCGATTCTTGTTCCACAGCTTATTTTCAAAATTCAATCACTTACTCAGTCAGTGAAGAAAGGAAAAATACGTTATTTACCGTCACCTCATGTGCAAACCATTACGAGGTAAATGTCGCTGAATGTTGGTGACTGTTCTGTACAAATAATTTTTTTTGCGCCTTGTCGATGTTCAAAAGAGTTCAAAAATGGAAATTCACTGCGTTCTGTTCCGATCAATTGCTAACAAGAAAATGTAAATCGAATGACACATACGGAAACGGTCTGCTATCTCCATAGAAACGGTGTTCCAGTTCGAACAGTGCTGCACTGTGATTCATTGCCCATCGCACCAAGGGGTAACCTGTATAAGTGATCCACTCGTTGTCCGCACGAGACTCACCGCGAAGCATCAGAAAAACACGGTCATTTGCTTTGTAGTAATTCATGTTATAAAAGTAGCGCTGAAATAGAAGAAGTTCTGCAAATTAAAAGGTTTTTGCCATCCTCAAATCCACTCCCTTGCGGCTTTTCAATGAAAATCATTTATCACTGTATCAAAAAAAGCGATTAGGCGAAAAAACTTCACGAAAGCTCATCATTCCTCATCGTCACATTGTGTCGTTCAGTTCAGATTGCCACTTCAAGAAACTGATTAAAATTTGGCTAAAGGAAGCGATCCTATGAGTTCACCTCAGTCGACACTTTACGGTAACATTCAAAACAATTTTCCATTGGTGCCGACGAAGGAATTCGATCTATCGACAACAAATAAGATTGGTTTATCTACCTGTTTCCATTTACGCGTATCAGACGGGGTGAAATGGTCCAAAATTTGATCAAATGTGGCGGTGGAAGCGTCAAATTGGGCACGAATGTGTGGCTGAAATTTGATTATAAACACTCAACGCACTCGTTAGTTTCCAAGAAGAATGGAGATTGCCGAGGTTTTGTATGGTGGTTGTCGGCAAACATGCAAATTGGGCTCCTAAGAGCTGAAAACCGTCCAGAGCGCATTTCTGCTTTGAAGAAAGGGTTTTTTTAATCGTTTAAGCAGTGGAACTATTAGGTGCATACAGACTTCCCACACGTTTGAATAGAGTGCAAATGGGAGGATTCTCAAAGCAAAAGTGATGTATAATGCATATATAGATATATACCTTATTTGCTAATGAATCGCCTAAAAATCCTTTACGAGGTCTGCCCATAAAGAATTCAGGTATCCGCGATTGTGAGTCCTTCGCAAGCGCAACCCCCTGAAGTTTATATTTTCCAGTTGCTGAACAGTTTCTGAATTATTTCATATGCAATGGAGTGCTTTGCATGAATGGAACATGTGCGAAATTTTCAGTAAGAGGTAAGCTAATTGTAGTGGTTGAGAGAACATGATTTTGGATCGTTATAACGAGACTCGTATTACAGATTCTATGGCAGTTGGTGACACAAGGCAAATCGTTCTACCTACCGAAACGAGAAACAAGACTAAAGCCGTCGAAAAAGCGATGCGCTCCATCTCGTATCCTGTAAGAAAATTGGTAACTGAAATCTGATGAATGAAGAAAGTGAGATCGAAGTTGCACAGTGAAAGGTGTATGGAAATATTGATGATCTAAGTGATAACAGTGGTAATTTAAGCAAATCTGTGCAAACTTCAATAATATCTGCGAACACTCCGCTCTCGATTCAGAGCATAACCAATACCAATGAAATATTCGTTTGTAATCTAGAGAGCGTTCCATATGTTTAGGAATGTCTTCTAAGCCGGCTGCCACTAGCCAGCAGTGTTGCATTCACTAGAGCTGCATTATTCTTTAAAAATATAACTGATCTGAACCGATCTTTAATGTCTTGCTCCTTATCAATGTCATAAAATGGCTTAAAATGATACCGACAATCGATGCTAAAATTTTCTTATCTGTTGGGTGTTTTCTTATCACTTGTTTGCTTTTTCCATCGCTTAACAGAACGTCGACATTAGTCTCTGTATGCCCACAGGATTGAGAATTTCTGGTTTCGTGTCATGATACTGATTATGTTTCCAAACAAATTTCCATCGCTTTAGAAGCGTTTAGGAAATCAGTTGCATCTTCATGGTTAGTTGAATCCTGTGAATTGTGTTCATTGATCACGAAGTCACGATCAAGTTCATAGATTTCATTCCGGTTCATAGCGTTCGTTTGTAATCTAGAGAGTGTTTCATATGTTTAGAAATGTTTTCTAAGCCACCAGCAATTTAACATCAACTGAACCCGCCAAAGCTAAACCAACGCTTCACGAGCCCACTTCCAAAACATTCCATTTCTGAAGGATATACCTGAATCTAAAATGACACAATTTCATCATCCGTCCATTTCAGTTTTGTTGCAGTTTTCTCACTCACCTTCGTGACATTTTGTACTGAGGTTCCGATCTGCGTAGGCAACATATTTACTAACGATTTTGGGAAAGGAAAATCTCATCAGTATATCTTCAGTATTCAATGCATCAGGAGCAATTTGTTCCAGTTCATAGTCAGTCTATGGTCAACAGTTTGTGAGGATAAAAGAATGTCTCATTGGGAACCGCCCATCGACATCAGAGTACTGTTGAACTTCGAATTGAGTTCTGAAAGGTATTAGAGAGAAGATATTTCATACTGAGTCATCGCAGAAAAATCACGCTGAATTCTATACGGGTTATGAATTTCATAAATTAAGGTGCATTTCATTCGTAGTTTAGCAGACAAGTTATGCTTCAACAATGCGAATGAATCATTCTAAACCGCATGTTTATCATTTGCTTGGGAATGTCTGTGAATCATTCATTAAAAAAATGTTTGCTATTGACAGTAAGGCGCCATCAAATGACCGCCATAAAAATTATTGCAGCCATTTTTTTGATGAATGCGCACTCTGACTGTTCATGATGGAGTTTTCGTCAGCTTACCGTAACGTCGACATAATGTTCTGAAACGTATTAAAGAGAAGACACGTCACATTGATTTTCATGATGTGATAGTTAATGGTTCACTATCAATAGTTTAGCAGCAATGACTACCTTTGGTTCAATAGGGCACCGTGTCTAAATAAGGAGTTTCGCAATTTCACCTCTTTGCACTAGTTTTGTTTTGAACAAGATTATATCATTCCAGTTGTACTTTTCAAGTCACATTCACAAAAACAAAGGAACAAATACCTCATGCTCTAGTAGTAATCTCGATAGTGTTTACACTGTTTCATGTTTATGGCTGTATAATCCACCAAACGGATCATCTTTTTTGCGCATGATTCATTCCTGCTGAACTTTTGATGAGCATCACGAACTTTTTTCGATCAATGCTGATAACTCTTATGCAAACGAAATTAAATCGTTTAATCGAATGATTCACTTTTGTCCGTATAGGTTGTTTTTTTTGGTTGGAATGATTTAGTACCGTAGGAAACGATAGTCGACAATGTACTTTTGACGCAATAACATGATTGAGTGAGCAGTTTCATGATGCGCTTCTTAACGCATTTATTCAGTGAAATCGACCTTTGTGCAGAGCTTATTGGTAAGCATTGCGTCGGTATGAGAATGCATTCCATATTACACGTCACCTTTGCTATAGACAACATTTGATGTCTCACAATTAGGAGAGATAGTGGTCCGATATTTTGTGACGGCGAAACTTTTAGCAAGCATCCTTACGTATTTCGGAACAAAGGAAAGAAAAGCATATCAGAACTTTCCATGCGTTGTGATTGACAGCTCGAATGAGTTTTTATATATGTTCGGCGTGAAACAGTTCACATTCTGTGAAGTTGCTCACTGTCACGCAGCCAGTAAGACTGCATTCAAGAATGAATGCAGTCGCGGTAATCACAATGAAATGCAGAATGATCCAGGTATTCTATCCGCGCTTATTTCTAATTAAAGATCAATTGATGCACTCCAACAATTTCTCGTGAAAAACTTACATCAGTAATCGCAAGCTTTGACAGAAGTAGTCTTTCAAGGGGAACTGTATGCATTCTGTAGAGTTGAACCCTAGAAATGAAAAAAAAGTCTCTTCAGATTTCCCTCGCTAATAGAAACCAAATTAATTCCCCTTGTTCTTGCATGGAGTTATTAATTTACGCTGAAATAAGCATAAGGCAGTCTAAAGTGGTCATCCAAGAACAAGTACACAATAATAGCTGTCATATTTAACAGATAGCATTGGATGCCGCAGCCGATCTCACACGGAGACTTCACATTGGTATCACACGATACACGAATTCTCATGTTCTCAATCGCACACGCACATAGTCTGCGTTGAATCTTTCCAGCTTAATTATTCTGGTAGCATACAGTATCTTGCTCTCAGAATTCAATAAAGCACACCTACTGACTGATCACACTCAACACAAAATTCATATGCTGCGCTATCGTAACTGCATGAAAATCGATACCTGATCTTTTACTTCAGGACAGACGTGTTGGAACGTTGTTTATTACTGAAGGAGGTGCTATTTTCGCTTGGGCAAATACACAACGAACTTGGGCAAATTACAGACGCTACATTTAGACAACGTAGCGTCTGAAATTCGTAAATCAATCTATCGTGTAGGCTCAATGAACATTGCGGCTGGAGTGCAATGGACGATGGATCATTAAAGTTTTTTGAGTGGCTTATTACTGCTAAAAGTGCGTCGAAAAATGGAGCACAGCATTGTCTAAATGCGTGATGTATTTAGAAAACGGTAATAGTGGTGACAAATGTCACATCATCAGTCAGATGATGAAATATAGCCAGATCATTATCGCTTTCGAAACTCATCAGACATTCACACAGTTACTCAGTTGCATGCTAGAACGAACCCAATCGTCGCCGCGAACACATTTCTTGTTTCATCACACCTTCCTCTTATCATACGGAAATGGAACTCGAATGATAATTTTCAGTAAAACCTTATATTATTTGATTCTTTACCGAATTGTAATGTTCAAATCTGGTGAAAACTGTGGGTTCAGGCGACACGGAGAATTAATGGGGCAATGATAAAATTTATGCTGAACGGTTGTCAAGGAATGGTGATATTTTCATCTGATCTACGAAGAATGTACGCAAAGTAACCTATGGAGCGGGCTCAAGGAATATCGTGGCAGGAATTGATAAAATGGTGTGGGTGAGTAATGTGACGAGCGTGGTTAACAAGTTGAACAGATTGCTCGTAGATACGGGTTTTGTTGATCGGTTATGATGATGCGACTTGGTTTCGTGAAATCTATTTTCTACACCTTTTACATGATCATTAATCCAATTTTGCTTATGATCCCAACAGGTTTTCCAGTTCACGGTCATTCACCCTATATCATGTGTGCTACATTCGATCTACCTGTGTGCTCAGATTT